CCCCCCCCCCCGATGGCTGCTGATATGGTGCAGGGTCTAAACCTTCCATCAGTGTCATGCAACAAAGATGCAAACTTTCACCAGATTTCGCTGTGAAATAAACAAACAGACAAAAGGGACATTTGAGATAGATACGGTTAAAGACACCTTTACATATGGTATATGCTGAGACAGCAGGCAAGCCATGTCAATTATATTTTCCTCTGGTTTATGAATGAATGAATGTAACACTTTGCAAGACACTGAAGGCACCTTACAGAACCAATGTGGAGTCACTTCAACCATCACCACTGTGTAGCCCCCACCTGGATGATGCAATGGCAGCCATTCTGTGCCAGTACGCTCACCACACAGTAGCTATAAGGAGGTGAAGGGGCAGGAGTGAACTCACCAAACAGATATCGGCCAATGATTAGGAGGACAGATCTTAAAGAACCTCAGAGGATCATTTCAGCCAAGGCATTGGGTACCACCCCTGCTCTTTCAAAAGATGCCCACGGGTCCTTTATGACCTCAGAGAGTCAGGACCTCGGTTTTACGTCTCATCCGAAGCACGGCACCATTTTTACAGCATAGTGTCCTAATTACATATTACATGGTGCATTACCCAGATTTAACTTTTATTATGCTATGCATTATAAGCTTAAGCCACAAAATAGCTATAAATTCTAGGTTTGAGCACCCCTCATATGATTTTAAGAACTTATAATTTGCTGTAACTTTTGACGCTAGTTATGCACGTCAATCATAGTTGGTAATTGCAGTTAATGGCTACAATACTAGGCAGCACATAAGGAGTTTCCATACACAGTCTATTAACTTAAAACAGTCCAGTAAAGCAACCGTGTCTTTTACAAGGTCATTAACAGTTCGCAGTAGTAAAAACAATAATTAAAATAAAGAAACTGTTTCAAATTCTTGTTAAAAAGAATTACACCTCTTTTAAGCTTCATTCAACATAATATGACTTATGAATCTTCAGAAACAATACTTAAACTCTTACATGCATGCACGTAGAAAAAAAAACAGATTTTTGACAATATCTGACAAATTGTGATATTTATCTTAAATAATGGAAGATTTGGACCCCAAATTGCCCTCCATCATTTTAATGTGACATGCTGTTAAAATTTGCAGGCTTAAATTGCAAGCACTTTGGGAAAAGCATAAACTAATAAGCAGATTTTGGGAATGAATATGGAGCCACTTATCCCTGTTGTTTACACTGTTTTCTAAATGGTCACTGACGCTCCAGGGTTGGCATTGCCGTCTCCTGAGATGCAGCCCAAAAACTAGGATAAATCTCTTCATTAGTATGTATTATAGCACCTTTCAGTTTATGCTGAAGAAAAAACTGCTTATTACAAGTCAGGCTGCCAGTGAACTGCTAAGCAACAGCTGTCAGTGACCTTTGCAGTGACTCACGTGGCCTCCTGACTCCATCATTAGCTTTGATCAGAGGTCGGCCTTAGCCTAACCACAGAGAAGACTTGTGTTAATAGGTCAAAACTGTTATATCAAACTTAACAGAGCATTTGATAGTTATATTAAGCAGAATCACCGACCAGCAAGGCACCACTGAAGTACCCTGAGCAAGGTACCGCCCCCAAGCACTGCTCCCCGGGTGCAGAATTAGCTGAATTCCCCTATGTCACGACGTCACACATGGGTTAAATGCAGAGGACACATTTCGTTGCTGCGCACTGTGTGCTGTGGTGTGCCAACAATGACCACTGATCACCAAATTCTAAATTCAGTTCTCTCTGTATACAAAACTCATTTGGGAAAATGCATAAATCGAAATTAATATAAATGTCACCTTCCATTATTCAACCTAGCCTTTTTCCCAAAATTCCAAACCTTTTCTTTATATTAACTAATGAATTAGTGCAAGTCTTACAATTTTCAGTTTATTGGGCATATGATTTTGTTAATTCTAATAAATACGTAACACCTTTAAATAAGAAGCTGCGAATAACTATCCTCCATATGTATCACATAGCGGCCTTAAACCATTACACTTCCCACTTTTCCAGTAGTGGTGGCACTCAGACCTACGTTCTATGCATAACATTTTTTAAACTGAACTATTCATGCACATAAATCTTCAAAAATGCGATTTCCTAATAAGAGAACTACGCCACTGAATCTGCTGCAGAGACTACGTTAAGGTTCATGAAAAGCTACAACACAGATAACAAATGAATAATTTCAATTAGTTCACAGCCATAAGTTACACCAAAAAAATACAAATGAAACTAATTCAGCTCGAATGTACGTTCCCGATTAGTTGGGAAGTTGTTCGTAATTATTTATGTATAATTTAGAGCTTAATGAACTCATTGAAATTTAGAGCCTAGTGAACCCCAATTAAAAAGATCAAATAAAAGCATGCATAACGGTACAGTAACCGATTCATGATCAGTCCGGATGTACCTTACGGAGAATCTCCGGATCACACTGGATAAGCATACGATCAGAATCGGAGGGCAGAGTATGGACGTGATTTGCCGCGATCTTAGCGGTAGTCTGTAGCGTAAGCTGCCATATTTCATCGGCCGGATGTGCAATCATGGGACAGCAGTGGGGCCGTAAACAACGTAAAGCTACGTTACGTGACGTCCGCATAGAGTTTTTTTTTATTATCATCAAATGAGATATTTAAATATTTATTGTGCTTCTCATTCTTTGTTCATCGCGGTGGTGTTGCATATTCAGTTTTGTTTATATTACAGTTTTTTTGGTGTTTGACATTAAAAGCCAGTGTCAGAAACGAGATTCATAATCCTCGCTGGTGAAGAGTGGTCAGCCAATCAGATCAATGGGGTGAATGCGCACGCATAACTTAAGGGTGCGCAAATAAATATTGACAAACGTTTTACACGAGTGCGCTTCCTAGTTTTCCACTAAAATGTATTGGGCAAGTTTCTACCTCACGTCTTTGTGTTTACAAACAAATCCTTAGATTAAGGTTTGGCGTCACTTACCCTTGTAAACCCATCTGTGTGTGACCGATAGTGACTTTTTGCTTATGTGGATGCGAGAAAAAAAACGCAGACGCAAGGTCCACTGGGCACGGAATTCAAATACGCGTTTCCAAATTAAATGAGTCTTTCACGGGGCAATAAAGGTGCGGTCACAGCCTATTTATTGTTACTTGGAGCTCAGTTGTTGTTACCATAGTAAGTTATTTAACCTACAAGCCACTTGGGAATGGTTTATCAAAGTATTCCTTTTCGCTGTAAATGGAGAGGGCGGGCCGGGTAAGGGGGCGCAGAATGCCATTGGCCAAAGCTAAGAGGGCACGTCATCTTAAATTACGGATCGAATTTCTTGGCAATATTTGTTTCCTCTTCGACTGTTATCCCGGCCCAGTGAATGTATTCCATTAAGTGTCGAATAGAAGGACAGCCGTAAGGATGCTAAAGCGGCAAGGAAAATGAATTCGTACCGAGACTTACTGTGCAGCGGGGACAGCAGCACTCAATGTGCTAGAGTTTACTTCCCAGCGGAGGTCAAGCTGCACAGCATGGATCAAAGAGCAAGTCAAAATTTAATTTGTTGTAACGCAGAAGAAAACCATCTGGTTGGCACCGAATTCCCCGTGCAACAACAAGTTTCAGAATTTCACCACGCCACCCCTACTCCCGCCCCGACCTCCGCTCATCAGTACAGCTTTTCCTATACTACCAACACCTTGCAGTCCGAGAGCCTTCAACTACCCTTCAGTACCGGGAGCGCTACTACACGCACCTTCTCGCAAGATCAGAGCTACCCCTCCCCTTCGACTTACTTCCATTATTCCAACCCCGCCGTTCACTCTAATTTTCCCGAGTTGGACGTAAGTGGACACAGATTGCATTTGGCTAAGGAAATTCCAGCAAGCTTTTCTGGGCTAGACTTCGCGCCGGAATTGCTTGACTCAAACTCTCAGGTCTGTTCTCAGGAGGGAACAAAGATTCCCTTGACAGTTAAGGATAGTTTTCACCAGGACCGTGTCAGCCCGCTTCATGAAAACCGTTACATCAGCAAAACATTCCAGTGGATGAAAGTAAAGCGAAATCAACCCAGGACAGGTGAGTTCAAAAACGGCCACTTTCTCATGAAGTAGTTTATTGTTGTTTATCACGATTGCACTAGAGATTAACAAGAATTGTGTCGATGAAATGTGTTGTCATACATGACACGTAGTACCTTAAGACACAAAGTCCAAACATACACACATGGGCTTTTGGTGTACTGGTATTGCTTCACTCTTAAAATTCCCCACTTTTGCGCACATGCATATAATGGATTCGCCAACTTGGAGCCAAAATGGGCGGAATTGAGAATAAACGGAGGCTGATTTTGTAACGGTGAGTAATTTGGGAAAAAGATACACTGATCTTTTTCCTTAACCAAGACCTTTCTCTTAATTAAAGCAGAAAGGCAATATACTTTAGATTCTGTTTCTTGTAATGTCAGCACATTTAGGGTTTCAATATCAAATGTGATTCACTCAAGGATTACATTTAAAGCTGATCAAATGTATTCTTCACGCTATTTTCAGATTCAATAACAATGCATTTTAGCTAGCCTACTTACAAATCTCCTGAGTGCTGGTGACCAAGGCCTTAGTTCGGGCCCTGTCAGAAAGGTATCAAGAGGATCTCAGAGAAAATAAATCCCGACACAATCGTTTATCTTTCGTCACTACTTTCACTTGAAGTTTGACTTCTATTGGGTTCATTTAAAGTAACTGTTTGAAGAAATAAAAACGGTTTCATTCATAAATGCACCAAGCTCTCGAGTAAGCACAGTGAAAAAGAGGTACAAAACGATTGAAAACGTTATTAGCAAGGAAAAGGGGTCACTTAGGCTAAATCTTGTACTTAAGTCTTTGAATCGGATTTTGGAAGTTACTGTTTCTGTGTTTTTGTCAGTTAGCAACAAACTGATCTCTGTTTACCAACTGATCATGAGACTTAGCTTATGTCTCTTGAATTTAAATGATATTTCTGAAAGGAGTAGGCTACACAACCTGGCGCAGTATCTCCTACTATTGCTATAGGATTGATTCAGACGCATTACTTTCCCTGTACTCGTGTATTCCCAGCGCGCAGTTCTTCAATTATATCTTGACAGTAGCTGAATGACTATGGGATGGAGTCCAGATGTATGACCCAAAGTCTGTCGATAGTTGTCCCTTTTCCCCGCGTTTCGTCACTAAATATTTACCTTGACGTTTTCCCCACCTGAGGTATACACTGTTTTGTAAATATGCCATTATTACATTTTTGATTACCTGTTTGAGCGTAAATGGTAAATTAACATGATAATTTCGGTCTCTGTATTGTTAATGTTGAGATGTTCGGTGTCTTGTAGTTATTTTGTTATATATGGCGTGCAGAAATCTGAATGTCATGTTTAATAGGGGCACAGATCAGTGCTGTGGGAAATAGAAGCGCCCCTCCCTCCACACAAACACACACACAATTGCGCCCGACGAATAAGGTAACAGGTGCACAGTTCTAAAGAGCCCGGATATAGTTCCCAAACTGTATTATTAGGAATGAAAGCAGCGTTGCCCTATTAATCTCCCGCAACGAAATTTTGGCAACACCTGTTCAGTCACATGCTGGATGTTATGACAGCCCATTATAAACGACTTATTATTTCCTGGTCTACAAAATGGAGGGCGGAAGGTAGAACTGAAGTGTAGGCCTACAATAACAATGAGTCGTACCTGAGCGTTTAATGTCCCTATTAAGGGTTCCCAAGCCTGTTTAATATGCAGTCTCGGGTGGGTTGCTAGTGGCTGTGCCCGCTGCAGTGTACTATTTAATTTGAAAGTATAAATACGATATAAAGAGCAAACATGTATTATATTGATTAAGATATTTTAAGAGATTATGTATAGACGATATGATCCTACTGCTTACGGAGAGTCAAGAGTTTGAACAGCGTTAGACAACAAGTGCCACGACCGCTGAAGCAGGGATCTCTGTTGTGATTGGTTTAATTTTATAGCCGCCTACTGTTTCATGTCACTTGTTCGGTTATATACCTATCATAGGTAGACTATATATAGGAAACTAGGCCTATTGACTATATAAATCAATGTTTGTGTATTTGCTCATATTTTAAATGTGTAGACATGCCGTCAAATGATATTATAGGCCTATAAGTTTTAATTTTTGTTTTTTGGTACTTTTTCTCAAGAATAAATGAAACGTATATCTCATGTACTATTAGCCAACCTGCAAAACATTTATATTTTATGACATGTTTATTTTTTTACTGCTTCCTATTTGAAAAGAAATATTTCCGGTATTGAAACGCATTGTTCATGTCAGTTAATGACACGCTTTATTCGGGTGTAACTGATGACGGTTTGTCTTGCCGCAGCTTCTTCCGTTGCGTCCTGCACGATACACTCATTACTGGTATTAAAATACCAGAGTTTTCTGATGTTGCGCTTCAGTTTAATCAACACCAAAAACGAGAAAATCACGGAGTACCTAATTCAGTTGAAGCAAATTGCTTGCATGGCCTACACTATCTTAAATGTAAAAAGTCAATAAATCGAGTTGATCTTATGACTTAGACTAATAAACCAGCTAAAACGAGTAATTCACCATAATACGCCACGTCATGATGCGAATTCATGGGCGTGCTATTTCGTTCCCCATTGTCCCACAAGAAGCCTTGGTTCGAATGACTGAAGCTGTTATACACAGTTGTGATTCATTTAATGTAGTTACTACAGGTTCACGGGTTTGGATTTGTTAACCACAAATATCATATTTTCTCACTTAAACTGATGAGCCCATTGCTTCTTTATATTCCTGATTGTCATTCATGGACTGAACTTGCCCATAATAGTGTAATTTCTCTTATGACCCTGGTGCTATGTTCGTATTCATCTCGCGCTCTTGTCATATTTATCTACACTCCTTGCCAGCGTTATTCTTAGTGTGGGTGTTTTTTTTTTCTTTTTCCTTAAATTGTTTACGCATCGGTCATATATGTAATGCATTGATTTACCCTAAATTGTGATTTCCGTTACAGTAAAACCTCTGACGGAGGTCGGCGGAACGAGGTGTTTTGGCCTGAGCCTCGGTACCAAAAGTGACCACGGCAAGAGCATCACTCAGGATGGACTAAATGCCAGCGGGGCGCCGAGGACCAGCTTCACCACCAAACAGTTAACGGAGTTGGAGAAGGAATTCCACTTTAACAAATACCTTACCCGCTCGAGGCGGGTGGAGATCGCCAACGCCATGCAACTTAACGAAACGCAGGTAAAGATTTGGTTTCAAAACAGACGGATGAAACAAAAGAAAAGGGAGAAAGAAGGCCGCCTGCTTGGGTTCTGGCCGTCCTCGAACAGTAGCCAGGATGTCTGTGGTATTGATAAGCCGGACAATGTTCCCTCTCCGGCCCCCTCCCCTCCTCCAAGCAAACCTTTATCAAAGGACATCCTTGCAGGATTGTCTCCTTTACAAACGGAGGTCTGCTGGAAAACTGGCGTTGATTGCACTCCTTGATTTTATTATAATCATAACTGCACACATGTAAATAGTTTTATTATTTAATTCTATTTATTTAGGACGATTTTGTTATATGAATGCTGTTAAAGATCATTAAGAGAAAATATGAGTTATGGAAACACCGTAATTAAATTGTACAATAATTTATTACATTTGACTACCTTAATTAAGAACAGTTTGCACTTAGATTTCTAGGCTGAGTCAAGTTGTTGAGTTAAAGAGAATCGTAGCCAAAGTTCGACTTGTCTCTATTAGTGCAACATCCTTCCGCAGGAATCGAGCGCTGTAATGCTGTGTCCAGTCATTTCCTGAATGCTAACATGCGGATTTATTATATTCTTATTTCACTTGATCCAGAACTAGCCTTGTCGCTCTGAAGCAAAACACAGAGACTTACTCACTTAAACTCTGTCCGCTTCACGAAGTGACTCTGTACGCGCCATCTGTCATTTACATTTGTATTCCTTTCAATGCTGAATGGTGTACAATTTAGTTTTTGCGCATCGACATGTTATTCTTTCTGTGTCAGTCTTGTGTTTGTTCAGCGGTTGATTTTCACTTCTGTGTGGAACTTTAGAAAAAGACTAAATTAAAAAGGCTTTTCATGATCTTTATTTTCAGGTCATTGAGGCTCGACAGTGAATTTAGTCTTGCACAAATACACACAACTATTTTATCATAAATAAATATACAAAATTAAGAGCTACGAAACTGAAATACTTGCTACTGTTAAACATAATAAAACAATTCTATGCATGAAATTGATTCATTTTGGTATTTTTGGATAAAAACTGTCATTCTTTTATTTCTGACGAATTAGTTTTCCAGTTGTATTTCATTTTATTTTTTAACCGTATAGGCCTACATAATACGAACATTCACTTTATGGAGATTTCTGTAAATACCGTATTTGGCTTCTTCATACACTGTCGACTGCAGTACACCATGGATTGCATTACGCGAATATCTGACTTCTTTAATTAAATTCAGAGCGACGTTAAAGTTCCTTGAAATTGAATTGCGGTGATACATACTTGCTGTTTTATTACCATCGGTAGTTAATTCTGTCATTCTGAAAGACTAAAGAAATTAAAAGCTTTGAAAAACAATATATTTAAACTCTCTGCCTGTACGGGTTAATTTATCCGCGGTTGAAATTCTTGGCGAATGATTCACGCAATTTAAGTTCTAAAATCTTGCAGGTACAATGAAAAAGCTCCAAATAACCGAATATTACATTTATGTAGCAGCTAGTCTTCCGCTGTACATTTATTGAATCAGGCTCGTGCTGTAGCGTCAATATTAAATTCTTACAGTGAATTTTGCTCGCGTGTAATATATTTGTCGGCTGCGTTAATAAGAAATTTTATAAAGATTCTTTTGTCTTGCAGTTCAGTTGTCAAAACGTTTTATACTTTATAAGCGAAATAACTCGCATACCGAAGCAAAAAGGGCCTTCATAGCCATCACCAAATCAGATAAGTCTTCTGATGTCGCAGCTATTGTTGTGTTGTATTTAATGAGCATTGCTATATCAATGACGATGTACTGTAATCCAATATTGATTGGATTCGTCCTCCATCATAGTACTACCGATTTTGTAATATATATATATTTTAATGTAGTATACATTGTACCTACACTCTCTGCAAAAGACACAAACCTCTTGTCCATGCGCGATACATAGGCTATACTTACATATATCTATAAATTTTTACCTGGCATGGTAAAATATGTAATTTTATTTACACCTGCGAAGGACTGTGGGTTAATTCCCACGTTATTTACAGTAAGAGTTTTGTAACAACAAAGTGGCATTTTAAATTCAGCGCTGTCCAAGGCATGCTGGTTACATAAACACGATTTACTGTTACAGTTTTGTATAATAAATCTGACTGCGATAAAGTTAGACTATGTAAAGGCTATATATTATCATTCATTGTCGTTTAATACACAATGAAATTTTATTTTGTGTTGAAGGCACATAGCGGTTTACTGCACAAACTAACAGGTATGCAATATAACACGGCAAATTAAAGGTTAGCCACTCAAAAAGTAGCATTGGTAGCCGGTAGGCCTATATGTTGTTTGCTACGCAATGTAAAGCAGCTAGTACTATAGATCTAATATGCAGAAAGCGCGGTGCAGCGCAGGTTTCGTTGATAAATTCGGATTTCTCAAAAGAAATAATTGTAATACAATGCAATGCAACCAAGGTTTTTCTCATGCTATCATTCCGTCTACGGCCATGTTTAATAAATGAATCTCATTTAAATTTAGTTTCTCATCGAGAATAAAATAAAATATTCACATTTTCACTTGTGTATTATTACAGTATTAAGTTGTAGGCTTGTTTTTTGTGTCTCCCTATGAAATGCAAAGAATATAAGATACTGAAAAGTAAGCGCAAGTGATAATTTTAAGAGAGTTATTTTAAACACCCCGGACCTTTAAAACTTTGGAGCAGTTTGGCCAAAGTAGGTTTACGAAAAGTCATGCATGGAAATATTAAATACATTGTTTTTTTTGTAATTCCATGGGTTACGGCTAAGGAGCAGTGCGGATTACTTTCCGTATAATGATATCAGCAAAACACTGTTGACAACATTTTTTCCTTATTCGTCGAATTTTCCTGTTTGCCCGCCAAGTGAAATCCTAAGTCTGACTGAAAATGCTAAGCAGCAACAGAATTAAACACAATATCAAATCTATTAATGAAATGTAACCAGACTCGATGTTGTAATGGAAAATGGTGGTGAAAATCATCTTTTAATTCTTTTTTTATTTTATTTTATTTATTTTTATGCATTTTTACCAGTTGGGAATTTATCACAAATTATATATGCGTACATAGTATTAATGATAGGAACTATTTTAGAAGCGACAAAGAACATGAAATAAACTCACATTCGCCAAAGAATAAGTATTCCAAGAAATTATTATGTATTAAGTTTGCCTAGGTAATTTTCAAATTAATGCACCGTGATTGCATAATTAAATGTATTTTGGCAGGTGGATTTTAAACCTTCAAAGCTCACAATGCACGCGCCTTATCAGACTAACAAATGCAATTCGCTCCCTAGTTCAACTTTCACCTCTTCACCTCTGACTCGTCTTGGGAAAAGGCTGACCCGGTCACTGGCTCTCGGTGAATCAAGAGTCCGTGTTCATTTGCACAAAATTCCGCGACTGCTGCATTCTCTTTCTATCAACTGCCTACATCGTTCCAGTATTTTTGAGACTTAAAACTGCCAAATTCACGTGAAATGGACTGCTTGCATGACTGATGTATCTCTACGTTTGTATATTAAAACAAACTTGACTAAAATACGACTTTTACACCTGTAAACCATCTTAATGGTGACATAAACAGGTGTCTCCGAGTCATAAAACTAATCAAAATCTTCATGCCATTTTAGTTAGTGTAATTAATGAAAACTGCTGCTTGATTGTTTGATTTCTGAATGTTGCGTTTCGCTATTTTTGTAGAATATTTTGTGAAATTTAGCGCACGTGCACGTGTAAGCCAAATCAAAAAAATCAATTTCCCTCAAATTAATCTTATAATTTCCATTTGTTAAAATGTAGATTTCTACGGAAGGGGGGTAATTTACTCACAGACACACTGGCTCGGGTCCGAATCTATCGATATAAAAGGCCGGTATGAAGGATTGTGACAGCCGTATATACATTACGGCCATTGACTGAATGTATGTTTTATATTTATTGTTAAAGGGAGACATTTCATAAAACAAACAATGGAATATCACTTATTTGAAATTGATCTATTTGTTGCATTTTCTGCTGACCTACCATTTACAGTAGGCTATTTGACGTAATAATTATTTCTAATAATTAAACCTTTTTGAGGGGGGGTTAGATTGCATGATCTGAGCTGGTCGAACTGCTAACGGTTTTTTTGCAGGCTATCTAATTATCATGGTTTAATGATACTGTGCACGTATGATGTTCGGTGTCTTGCATTTACAAACAAATTAGAGGATATTTGTCCCTCTAATCCTGGACGCTGCCCTTCTGCTGCTCTCTTGAAATGAAGGATTAAGCATAATTTTCAAGCGTGCGCCTGTCAACACTGACGGCAGACCTCTCCGGCCAGCGAATCGAAGGGATGCTGAGGCTGCGTTTCCGGGCCGAAGTGTATTATTGATTGTTCCAACAGAAAAGCCCTTTTGTGCGAATGTTCACTAAACCTACGAACAGATGCCCTAATAAATGCATTTCTTTTCACAGCATAGTCACAGACAATTATTGATAATACAACAGGTATCATTATATTCATTCGAATACCAAAATCAAAGAATAAATGCATTTAAATAGTTTAATCCAACATTTAAAAAGACGCAAAACGGCTAGTCAAAATATAAAATATAATAAACATCATATTATAGAGTACACCTGAACAACATTCCGCTATCCACTAGACCTAGTGGTACCCTGCAGTTTGAGAACCTTATATCGAATAGCCTATGGCAAAAACATATTAAGATGTTTCATATTAAGATGAAACAAGTTTACGAACTACTCCGGACACTGTCTGATATGTGTCATACATATTTGCGTGACGCCCAGCGTAATGACTCACGTCATATCAAAGAAAATGCACTCTATTAGACATCTAATCACTTGCACCTCGAAGCACGTGTACCAGGCACCAGGTGTCAATAGTGCTATCCGATTAGTTTTGTACAACAAAAAGTTACACAACTATTAAATGAATAATCTTAATAATTTTCGAGTTTCTCAAAAGTGCATACATACATGGTATTTATGGCTAAAAAGGATATATTAAAGAAGACTGGAGTTAATTAAATGGTTTGTTCATTCTAACCATGAAGCGCTAGGCAATTTGGCAATTTACATACACGCATTGGCATTCTTATAGAGCCAAAGAGCCAATAAAAATATTCACAAACCGGCAAAGGTTTATTCTGGAATTCACAAAAATGTTTTGCTGCAACGGGACAATAATTTCTATGCGTTACTTGTAATAATAGAATTATAATAATATAAAATATTATAATACGATTAGAAAGAACACATGATTATGCGGAAGTGTCCATATAAAGATCGGCAACCATAAAGCAGACCGCAAACGCGCTCCACTGATGCCCAGTCGTGCACTCTCACGCCTCTCAAGAACGAGCACGCTGCCCTGGGCACATGGTTATCTTTCGCTTTTGCGTTCGGGTTTTCGGTGTTTTGGAAAATGGGGTTGTTCATTTCGGCACATATTTAGTGGATGTTTGTTCAGAACAGAATAACCAACCTAATCAAAGGCGCTTCTCTCAGTTTTAAAAACTCATACGTCAAATAATGGGGTAACTAGCGTGTATATGTTACACGGTTTTACAACATTTTTTTGAATATCGGCGTGTGTTTTAATTCTGTGTTGCGGGACTACACCTTTAATAATATTTATTGATTATATTTAAGACACTCTGGCTAAACAGGCCGACAGTAAGGCAATTTTCCAATAATTACGTTACCGGATGGAATTGCGACACCGTAGTTCCAGATATTAGGTTAGTATGCCTTACATGTTGTGTATTTGAGATGCATGTATAATTGACACATTTCTTCTATATTTTTCACAGGTTTTTGTTGAATGCGCCGAAAAATTTCGACTCTGGTGGGACTCGAACCCACAACCTTTGAATCACTTCTCATAGTGACGAGACTAGAAGTCCAATGCGCTATCCATTGCGCTACAGAGCCGCGCGCTTCAAAGGCGGTCTTGATGGACTGTCCGGTGGTATACCGGTATATTTATATTGAGAAATCTTCGTAATAGTAAATAATACCAAAATCAGACATTAAAATTAAGATAGTAAGTACTGGGTTAATATTGATGCTTAGATATATTCTTTAATGTCATCTGGTATGCTGGGTTATACTGCAGGGGCAATAAGTCACATTACAAAAGGCAAAGAAACCTACTGAGGGGTGTCACCCAATCCTGAAATCAGCATGAGGTGCCTGTGACTTGCAGGTCTCCTAAACAAAATATAGTATAACCCTGATTACGGCTTCAAACCCCATATTCCTATTGCTCTATTGCGATGGCAATTTCAAGTAAAAATTTAGCCTAATAAAAAGGCTATATTTATAAGGCCAATGATATAATTGATTACAACAAGCCAACAAGATGCTGAAAATTTCCAGGAATGGGATTTGTGGATAAATAAAAGCAAATTGCTAACACGAAAAAGATGATTTAGGCAAGGCAATGAGAGTCAATACTGTCACTGTAACTGTGCGATAATACGGCAAAGTAATCTGCAATCTTGTGAAAGCAGTGGAATAGGTGAAGGACACTGGAGACTTGGGCTAACAATGCGATCGGCCTTTGTAATGAAGTGCAAAGCTGGATTGGTTTTTCAGGAGGCCTGTCCCATCATCCTCTGCGGTCCTCGCACAGAGTCTCCCGGACGGCCATCGCCGTACTGCTCGCGCTACGCTGCACCTTGTCAGCATCAGCAGTTTCCGCCTATTTTCTGATCTAATGATTCAGCACCGATTTTTCTTTTCATTTTGCCGTTCTGTTTACTTTAGATTTCTGGCTGCATTTTCTATGCACTTTTAAAATTTACGTTGCACAAATATCCATCATCATAACTATGCACTGAATCACAGTTAATCACAAAGTACTCAGTGCAGTGCATTTACACGAGTCAGCCGTCGTCATGTTCAGCAGTAGAGTGAGCATTAAAGCATTAGGTTTTTGTATGTACAGGTAATGTGGCATCAGAAATTACCTGAATGGGGCTGTCTGTAGGTTACATGTGAAAATTCAGTGAGTGTTATTCCATCCTCATAGAATCTCAAAGCAAAAGTTTATTATATTAGTGAGGCCAGTGACCCTAGACAATAAATTTTATCTTTGTTGATTTTTCTGTTCTTGCTAGTAAAGATTAAAATATATGCATTAATCCTCATGTAGAAATGTAAACCTGTGTTAATTTTTGGTCTAGTACAAATATATGGCCAGTTTGAAGATGAGGTGACAGTCTATTGCCTTTAAACTATACTCCTATACTAGACAGTTATGATCATATGACAAAATAGCAACATTAATGTTGTGTTGTACCCTAAATTTGATCAAATGAATGATATATTGTTTCAGAAATAAAGCCACGATCAAATATTTTTATTGTGTACTGCATTTTTTCATTACCCCAATATCCTCTGAAAGGTGCAAATGTGCAGGACGGATAGAACCACAGATCAGATACAATGATTAAATCAGAACCTGAAGCCAAAGCTAAACAAAATTTATAAGCTTGTAAGTGCTGGATTGATGCCATGGTTCTGGGTTGGGGTGGCACTGTGCTGCACTGAGCATGTGCTGAAGATGCCCAGAGACCATGGCTTTGGCCTGGGTTCTGATGTCCTTGCTGGGCAGCAGCTCTCTCCCTGGCCCACAGCGCAGTTTTGTCTGGATGGTAAAGGATTATGTTTGTAACACAGCTGCCCTACAGGTGTGATAAACCAGTCGGCGTTGGCCGCAACCTGTGGAGCATAAAGAAGAGGGTGACTGACAGCAGAAACATCAGGAGTTATGGTGGTCATCACCCCTCCTGGGATTGTGTGGGGAAAGCATGTGAGAAAATGGCTTTTTATTGGATTGAGCAGTTTTGGGGGAGAAATAGCAAAAAAAAATAAAAAATGCTGCTATGGTTGTATGGTGAGTTGTTCCTTTTGACGGGCTGCTGGATGGCGCTGCGATTTAACACAGTGCGCAGCATCACAGTCTTGCTGGGTGGACCAACTGTATTCACAACAGGCTGTTTACTGAGCGAAGCTAAACAAAGAGAAAACAAACCTCACATTTGTCTTAGATCCTTAGAACCAACATGGCTCTCTTTGGCATGCGCTTAAGGCGTTGTTTTCAGTTCTGTGACACGTTTGAGCTTCTCTGTAAGTCAGCGGATGACCTCTGCAGCTGAAATGCATGCAGGTGCGTGGGGGTGCAGCCTCTCCCACGTACAAAGATGCTTCCTATCCCGTCTGCTGCAAAAGAAACGGGCGCATTAGTGGGAAGAAGACTCATACACACAAGACATATTAATTATGCATAATGAAATTTATTTCATGCATTTATAATAGCATTTCCATTGGGCTTTACATTCTTATTTACTGATGCCTCCCATTATTATTGATGAACATATTATTAATATTATTATGAACTTCGACAACATGAAGTGGAATAATTCAATAACATTAAATAGGATGCCTTCAGGGAAATATTCATTAAAAAAAAAAAAAAAAACACAACTAGACTTTGGGGCAGCAGAAGTAAGAGTGTCTGCTTGAAGCTGGTTCTCTTCACCTAACAGGGGATGCTAGCTGACATCTTGTGGCCTCAGCATATTTCTGTGTGTCAAGCAAACAGCTGTAATCAGCAACTCCAGCTGCAGGGTAATTCTGCTTGGACATAAAAAAGCAAGAGGTCAGACATAGGAAGGGCTGGCTGGAGACATTTATGAAGACTTAAAAAATGATTGTTATTCATTCTTACCAAAGAGTTTTAATTGTGTTAAATGATAAGATGAGCAAAATGACTGTTTAGTGACCTGCAGTCTCCAAGTTTGACCTGTGTGTCATGAATCGATTGCTTCGTATAAGCTCCCCCCCCCCCGGCGGACTGATGAGGAGGCGGAGCCAAAAGTAAATGCTGTCTCCGGCCGCTGATGCTGCAGTATAATGCCCTAGACGCTTCCCCCGTCAAAGAAGGATCACACTAGTTTCAGTTGCCGCACTGCGGGTCGAAATTCTCAACAAGGAATCCATGTTATTCAAGTGTCTTTTGTTGTGTGAGGACTGAATAACTATCCTTAGTTTATATATATATATATCAGTTTCAATTAAGTTGTCATCCTGAAGATCTCCACATACTGGCCGATGCACTGAGTACTTAAATAAGCACAACAGAGCTCTGATTTCTTATTCAAGGTGAACTCTCGATCCACCCTGGAGGAGACTGTCATAATGACCCTGCATCAGGCATCTGCAAAGGGCAGAGGCAGAGAATGTGGGGGGGAGGGAGAGAGAGAAAGAGAGAACGAGAAAGAGAGGGCGAGAGAGAGAGAGGAAGAAAGAGAGGGAGAGAGCAAGTGAGAGAAAGAGGGAGAGAAAGAGAGGGAGAGAAACAGAAATGGGAGATAGAGGTAGAATTCTCCAGTGCTCTGTCTGCCACATAGGTCTTTGTGCCCTGGCCTGCCATTGGCCCCCAGGCTGAATAAAAGCCCAGTTCATGAACTTAACCTCCTATTCACTGCACAAGCAGCATGACCTTCCCAAGCTTGCCTCCACCGAGGATTTCAAAGAAGGACGTTTTCTCAAGAGGAGGCACAGTGGCTCGGGGGCGGGGGGGGTGGGGGCTTGAATCTGGCACCAGCTGTGTGTGAGAGGCATCTGCATGTTCTCCCCATGTTCACGTCCAGAGTTGTGCTGCACAGGTGGATCATTGACTCACAGCTGCCTTTGGCACGTGAATGCACTCTATACAGGGCGATAAGCAATCATTGAAAAACAGATGTTGTTGTCGACTTTATTGGAAGTATCCTCTTCCTTTCTTACATCGAGGTGGCCGTTGTTTCAAATCCACGCCCGCTTCCCGTTCTCCCTCTCCCCGCTCCTCATATTTAAGCTCCCGCCTGCCCTCTGGATCCCATCGTTCTCTCCGTAGCAGCAAGAAGTGACCCAAACCTGCTCATACGTCAAGCGCTCCAAGGTCATCGGCCGGTCATCCTCGCTGAATGGCTGACCCCAGCGAATTAAAAAAAAAAAAAGCTTGTTACTAGCCAATCCGGTCAATTAAATTTCCACATAAGGCTGTGCCTTCCCCTCAGGTCATCTTCAGCACCGTGGTTGGAAGGTGTCATCTGCATGGCATGATGGAAGAGGCTTTTACTGCCTATTTAGAACGAAGCTGTCCACACCACACTCTAATTACCCACTCTCTAATGGCAGCTGCCCAGCATAATTTCTTTTTGTTTGTTGACCTAGTTGAGCCCTAAGAAAGATGGATTGGGGGCAGGAGGGATGCACATATGAGGAGAAAAAAAAATACACACTTATTCTATTTGTAGGGTCATACTTCAGATTATGTATGCTTACCCTTATGAAAGCTCTGGCAGATCACAGCATGTTAATACCTTTGTCCGTGGCCTTCGGCGATCGCAGATCACAGGCAGCCATTAATCATAATATTTAGTAAACTGCAGAATGAGCATGAAAAGCAAACATAGACCTCTACAAATGGCGTTGCATTTATCCCTTAAATATGTCTCTTCCAAAAATGTAAACAAATCATTTTCAGACGCTGACACATTAATGTCCAGCAACCAGAGCTGGTTCCTTTGATCTGAGCTGATTTCACTTACTAATTCATTTAGAAACATGGGTTTGAGCATCGCCAGGAATGGGGTCCGTGAATTCGGCTCTTCCACCTCCGTTTGCTGCTCCGGCCGGTATCAGTCCCTCGCAGGGATTTTGTGCCTCAGCCGGTTCACACATAATTCAGGCCCGCTGTCTTTACGGGCAGCTCATAAATAAATCTCCTATCATCCGATAATGTCAGGGTAATGTTTAGTCAATAAACCCTGCTGTCATTTTTACCTCCTTCCTTTAATTCATTGGAGCAGCGTTTTTTTTTTTTGAAGTGGGGGATACGTGGCAGTGAGGATGGGCGAGGATATACGGCCTGGGTCTGCGCGTGTTCGTCAGAGATAGCACGCGTACAAAAGGCTGCGCGGGAGCACACCTCTGAGCGCGTCTGCGTGACTGATCGACTACGGCACAAAACGACACGTCGGGGCAGTTTAAAGACTGCAGCGATGTTGTTTAAAAAGGAAAAAAGGTGGGCAATCAATTAATCTGGAAGCGCTTCCTGATCACCGGGCTGAGACCTCGGCGAACCGGCAGACGGACTCCCGGGTCTTTGTTCTGCATTCTCTGCGTACCACGGACACGTGATTCAGCTGAATGGGCGCCCGTTCATTTATCTCTTATTGTCTGGGCGAGACGAACTACCGCATTCATCACACATGCAACCTTATCAAACGTGCAATTAATAGTCACCTTGAAATCTGTTGTGAATTAAGAGTGTCAAGTAGATATCTGGGGAAAAATATGGGCCAACGGACAAATATACATAAATATATAGGCCAAATCTCATGGTCTACATTTAGGAAAGCCACACTATGTTGGCACCTTATCCATAGGCACAGATGCAGTGATGGTTTAATCAGATCTTTTATGGTAAGCTGATATAATCTATAAAATATTATATGTGTGTGTGTATGTATATATATATATATATATATATATATACACATATATATATATATATATATATACACACACACTCACACAGACAAAATTTTCCAATCATGAAGGAATACATACAGGTGGTGTATATGTGTGTGCATTTGTAACTCTGTCAATAAAAGTCACTAAATTTTAGCTGTTTATTAAGTTAATTACTTTCACTTTCCTTTATAGATAAAATAGCAGCTCAAACTAGCTCAATGGCCACTTTATTAGGTACACCTAGTTGGTACCAGGTAGAACCTACTTTTTCCTCTAGAACTACTCCAAAGGTATGTTGTATGTTGAAGCCATTCTGCACACTACTGTTCTTCTGAGGTGAGAATTCTATACTTGTGGCCTTCCTGTTACATTTAATGAATCTGGCCGTTCCCCCCTGACCTCTCTCATTAACAAGGTGTTATTGTACCATCCATCCATCTTCTAACTACTTACCCTGGTCATGTTCATAAGGGGAGGGGGGCTTGAGTCAGGCAGCATAGGACAAAAGGCTGGGCTACACCCCGAACAGGACGGCAGTCCATCACAGGGCACCTCCATGCACACACTCACACACGCAATCACACACTATGGCAATACAGAGATGCCAATTAGCTTAACTGGATGTCTTTGATGTGTGGGAGAAAGCAGAGTCCCCAGAGGTAAACCAGGTAACACGGGGAGGACATGCAGGCTCCACCCACACAGACCTAAGGCAGGACTCGAACCCCCAGCCTTTGGAGGTGTATGGAAACAGTCCCACCATGCTGGCCATGGTCTGGAAACAGCAGCACTGCAGCGTGTCAGATGTCTGAACCAACACATCTGGCACCCACAGTCACATTCAAAATCACTTATATCAAAAAGACACTGAAGCTCTCATCTCGGTGTGTATCCTGTACGTGTGGAATTCAGCCATACGCTTTGCAGGAGTAGGGAGTGCATGTTAACAAGCAGGTGCACATTATTACCTGACCAGCAAGTGTGTGCTTCATGAAGCGTCACGCCTACTGCATCCCGGCGAGAAGTGGCTCACTGAACACAAAGCAGATGAATGGGAATGACCGTGTACAGCTGTCTGGAGGAGAGACGTCTCCGAGGATGACAGCTCCCCCAGCCGCCAGCAGAGGTGACACAAGCAGGTCGCACCGTCGCTACGGCGGAGCGTAACCGCTCTCCCTGGCGAAAATAAGGCAGCTTCACTCTAGCAACAGAGAAGTGCTGAGCAACACTAGGCCCCCAAAAGAGGTTAAAAGAGGCCAGTTAAATAGACAGACTCACACAGCATGCAGATTTTGAAATACTAATTGTGAAGAATAATTGAAAATTTAGTTAGTAGCAATGCAGGTCATGAACTATGACATTATAGTAATAACCACTGGTACGGAAAAGGCCCTCTCTGTCTGAACCTTATTATTGAGCTAGTGTTGAGAAATTAAATATAAATGATTTAGACTATATGCCATGCAAAGGGATTAGGTACACACATCAATCATATGCCGAGGCAGAAATTAAAATCCATGCCCGAAACCTGAAATGTGCCACTTTTTTTTTTTCCCCAGGAAAATGGTGCAAAAACATACAATTTAACAGCACCAGATGGGAGCTCTGGAATACAGGCAGATATGTGAGGACGAGGATGACAGGGAATGGAAGGGGATTGGTTTGGGTGGCTGGTTTCCATGGTAAATGATCCCTGCGGTGTGATGAAAACAGTGCAGTTGGGAGCTGGCAGTGACGTTAACGAAAATACCAATGAATAGACTGCCAGGTGAAAAAAAAACGAGGAGGTGATTAGTACAATTCACAGCTCAAAAATACCATAATTTACCTGCTTCCCGGAGCCCCATTTGTATTCATGCCGGATCCAGCTCTGCACCGGAGTTTTTATTAATGAATCCCCAAAACGCATCTATTTGTACCACTTCCACCTTTAGAAGGTACATCATTACCTCCCTTACATTTTTATCTCCTAATGAGAAAACGTTTTAAAAACAACCCAAAAGATTCATTTTCCTAAGCTTGTTCGCATTAAAATATTTCTTAGCATGACCGTTACGTTTCGTCGCATTTTTCTCCAGATTTTTGCCTCCAGGTATTTCCTCATTTAGCTTGTTTTTTTTTTTTTTGTTACCCTGAATAAAAATATTTTAAGTTAATGAGTTTTCATTACCGGAAAACAAATCCGAGGAAATCATGTTTTTATAAAGGAAACTGTGTAAGCGTTCGTGGAGGGTTTTTCCCAGGTTGCGATCAAAAGGAGCGACCGGCGAACACAAAGAGACAGATCTGCCCTAACGCGTATGGAAGAGGGGGTCGCGATGTAGAATATTGGCCCTACCTTAAGCACCTCTCTGTTCCCTGATGTCATGGGGACCCTTCAAAATAATAAAGAGCAATAATACCAGATCTGTACCATCCAGCTCCCTAGTCTCCACAGAGGAACTGCTTGCACCATCATTTATCAGCCCCCCCCCCCACCACACGCGCACACACACACACACACCCCGCAACCCCCCCGAGCCCCCTCTCTGCTCTAATTCTGCCTTAATAACCGTCGCCTCCATTCATCACAGTATTGATGGCTCTGACAGGCAGGTGGTGCCCCCAAACTCCCCGTCCTTTACTCGTGCGCAGCTCAGGGTCATCGGCAGGTCACCTGCCACCTAATCAATAATTACTCCGTGCCCAGTTGTCGCCATGGAAATGTGGGCAGGCGTCCGGACGCCCGTGTTCCACAGTGCCTGCCAAGGCCGGCTGGGCCGGACCCGAGCTGCTCTGCCCATTCTCTCGTTAGCTGCTCTGAGCTCCGAGCGGCAGATCCGCACACTGTGCCAGGCTGGGCAGAGGCACCTGGCCAAGGAGGGGAGGGGTCAGATTACCGGAAACGCCAGTGTGTGTCTGCGACTTCAGGGGTCAGAGGTCACCTCCCGCTGACCTCACAGAGGACAAGGAAGCTGGTAGAGGAAAAACTGGCTTCGCCATATGCCACTGCATACCGCTGTACAAAGACAGGCTGCCTTATTAACACAGAGCTGGCTGTTTTCAGACACTCATGTCTGCTTGTTTATCTGTCCCCATGTATTTGTGTGCATGTCTATATTTACTCTGTATATAAAAAAACATAATCTATCAGCCATAATTAGTACCGATGTGGAAAACGGCTGAATTATCTGCTCTTTCCTTTGCCTTTTTTATTCTGATGATCGCGTGGCACAGCTCAGCTCTCCCGTGTCGCAAAGACGGCGATGACAGAAGCATGAGCGATGTAACCGCTGTGCTGCACGCAGCGTTTTCCTGCCGCAAGGCCGGCGTAGCCAGCGACCCGTGCAGAGACTACAGGCTCCGCCCAGGACCCCGCCCCGGACGCCCAGGACTCCGACGTCTCAGGCCATTGCCCTCCCTGCTAGCGGGACAGCGTCCCGCGGCAGCGACGCCGAGCCCGTCTCCCCAAGCTCTGGGGCCGCCAAAGCGGCCGGGCGTGTTTTGCTGCTGGGGTGGGGGCGATGGCGGGGATTCTAACTCACAGTCCGGGTCCCGTCGGCAAGGATCATTGAACTAATTAATAACGCGGCACAGAGAGCAATGGGAGTCATTACTGAGGCTTGGCTGTGTTCGTCTGCAGTGCCGTGAGGCGTACTGGGGGGCGGGGGTGGGGTTGGGGGGCTTGGCTGCAGATAGTCCCGCTTCATCGCATGCCCGCCAGACCTGCCTGGGAGAGCCGGCTGCCGCTGCACCTCATCGTCTGGAGCGCTGGGGCCTGCGTGCCGCCAGAGAGGACACTCACGCACGCGGCTCTCGGCCTCGCTAAGCCCTTTGTCCCCGTTTCCTTCATTCTTCCAGGCTTAAACCAGCAGAAAATGCACCAACAAGGGGAAAACACACAACAGAGCACTGCACAAGTGACTCAATTAAATTCAGACGATTTTAACTCCCCCCAAAACAAAACACATCAATCGACATCTTTAGCATATAGTAAAATCGTTTTAATGCATCCATTGTAAATACAGCACATATTGCAGCATCCTTTATTAAGCCCATGCAGATGGTTGACCCACAGAAAAAAATACCTGGGCTGAAAACAGAAACATCTATTGTGAAACAAAGGATTATAATGCTATTTACTGTCCAGTGCTTTTATCTTTAGTGTTGCCTACCTGCCTGGCTGGAGATGAATTGGTCTAATTTATATGCAATGTTTTTTTTTTCTTTCCATCTACAGCGCATGTTGGATTTTTATTAAACCACAAATACGCTGTTGTTTCTTTTTCCTTTTTATGCCCTGTGTAATAAGAATTGACACCCAATGTTTACTTCTAACAACTAATAAAATGATCACTTTCTCACTAGTTTTCCTGGTACGAGAAGCACAACATTCAGATGGTGCCTCCTTTTCTTCCCCTTTCTTAGACATTTGAGAGAACCAAAGACAAGGATCAGAAATCCCAAAGGTTAATAGCACCGTTCACGTTCCGGTACCACAAAAAGGTTGGTCGTTTTAACGCTGAACACATCTCGACAGGACAAGCATGAGTGAATGTGAATGGTGCCAGTAAGGGCAGAAAGACAGTTTGCAGACGTATAAATCGTTTTTTACAGAGGTTCAATACAGTTTCCTTTTGAACTGTATGGATGAAAAAAACCTAAACAGCTTTTTTGGGAGGAATTCCTCTCCATATAAGTAAGAGCAAAGAAACTACTCTTTGAAAATGAACGTAGCATGTTTGCTAACTAGCTCCATCGTGTCTACAAAGTGTCCTTGAGGTAGGCTGATATGCTGAAGACCCAAACAGAAATTAGGCCCCCACAGACTTGTTTTGTGATTTGCTGGAAATGACCACGGTTTTAGGTCTGATCCCAATAAGTTTGCAGATCTGTTGACATGATGTTCCGGGATGTAAAGGTGCAGCCAAGACACTCAACACCAACTCATGGCGGGAGCAGTAACAAAGGATGGAACCTGTAAGTCCTCCCACAGAGTACAGACTAAAAGGAGCATGGAGATACTGGCTCTAGGGTGCAATTCCCATAATGGCTTTCTCCAATTAGATAGGACTCCAGCAGCATTTGAGTGATTGAGTCTTCCACGCAAATAGAGGGCGCTATGGAGTAAGCAGCTTCATGATGTCCAATTCTGCTAACCTGGCTATGGCCACGCCCTCCCAGTTCCTGTTAGCCGTGGGGTTACGGGGTGAGGGGTGCATGAGTCCCACAACACGTACCTGCAGGCCAGCGGCCGCTAGCGCTCGCCTGGCACGCTGCTCGGCGACCTTCCCCACGCCGATCACCGTGGCGACACCCAGCACCCGCACCACCTGGCATAGGGCGTCATCACACCGGGCCAGAAGGGCGTCACGCACCGCGGCCGGCAGCTCGGGCGGTGTCAGGTTTTTGCCACTGCCGCTCACAAACATCAGGGGACACAGGTTGTGCACAAAACAGTGTTTGAAGAACACGTGAGGCTCCCCGCACAGTTTACGGAACAGTCCCCAGAACCGAGCTCCGCTCACTTCACTCCGTGCGCAAGACAGCCCCGTGATTCGCCTCTTCGGGTGCTCCTCAGGCGGACGGCCCACCTCTCCAGAGATTTTCAGCCAATCACGGACAGAGCTCACTTCCCCAAAAGGGACCTAGATTGCAGAAGAATGTGACACAAAGGGGGATCATCAGATGAGATCATTATGACAAATTCTGATCATAAAATTATGTGACAACTATTCAGTTAGTTCACTCCCAACAAGATCGTTTTACAAATGTTTTACTAAACATAATGTTTTAAGGATGAACATAGTATACTGTGTAGATGTCTTAAAAGCTAGTAAAAGATACTCTGTAAATTTTGAATAATTTTCCAATACATGGAAATGATTAGTGTCATAGTATTTAATGAAAATTTATATAATACTTGAATGTCATTGTTCAATATTAATTATGAATGGCAGGTTGAAGTATGAAAGACAGAGCAATGAAAAGTCAGGATATTCATCTGGGTCTTACTATGGATCTTATAAAATGAATATCTGTGTTTCCCCTGAAGCCTGACCCCAATGTTTGTTATGTTTCCCATTGTGTTTTCCGATGCCAAAACAGTGGAATTTAGTTTTTATTCCTCTCCACTGTTGTATTAAACTCATGCCCCCAAATATAATCTCCATTCCTTCCTCCTATTCCCCTGTCATGTATTTATGTCCTTAAATGTTTGCTCCCTTGAAGGAAACGGAGATTTTGCTGGACAAATGAACTGAAACGCTGAACTGGACCGATGCCACAAAACAAGGCCGCTTGTCAGGAATGTAAATTTTAACAATTCTGAGCATACATCTGGGGGAATGTTCTGAAAATCCATCCATCCATACGGTCCACCCAGGAGACCAGCACAAGGAAAATTAAACAACCCAGAGAGAGAAAACATTTACTGACAGACTTCACAGGACAGACCAACCAGCCACACATTTTACAGAAACATACCATATGACCAAAATGATATGGAATATATTTAATGTAGCGGTAATAACACTATTCGCCTTCAGAAACTAAGAGCAAAGTTGGGGTTTGTTTTCCACATTTTCGCATTTTCTCGTTTGCGTTGGGAATTCAGCCTTACAGGCAAGGGAACTGAGAGCAGCAAAGAAAGACATCAGCTTGCCCCTGGATAACTGTATAAAGTAAGTGCAGAAGTCAGACTATTTTTCCCCCTCCTCTTACATTATTAATTCTACTTCTAATTGGTCCTGGCCTTGATTGACAGGAAGCATCAGAGGAATTGACATCATGCCACACACCCTGGAGGGAACCACTCCTTTTAACCATAATACACTACTTCTGTTGCTGTCATCAACCCCCCCCCCCCCCCCCAATCTCCCAAATGCCACAGTATTACTTCACCTGAAGTCATCGACAGACCTGTCAGTCATGGCGGAGATGGATTCGTCGCTCGGGACCAATCCAAGTCCTTTTATTGACTCATTTGTTTTGCTGATCTAACAACCTTTGAACTCTTTGGCCAGGGCTGTACAGCACACGTGGGCCTCTGTGTGTGTCTGTGTGTGTGTGTGTGATCTGTCAATGAAAATGAGCAGGCTCGTGTTCTCCTGTCCCAACTCAGCTCTCTGTGTTGCATGTGTGCCTTTCCGAAATGAGCGCTGGAGGGGGCAGCCAGCCGCCGCTTGCATAAGAGAAGATTGGGGCTGCCAGGCGGACAGTGCACTGCCTCACCCCGGTCTGTGCCATTCCGAAGGGCCCTGGATTCATGCCCAAGAACAGGACGCTCTGGTTGCCGTGGCAGTAGGCGCTGACGTAGTTGCAGTGCGTGTTCCACGCGTATTCCAGGGGGTTGTACGTGTACTGGACCGGCTCCGGAAACGTCAGCTGCCTCAGCCGGACGTTCAGCTCCAGCTCCACCTGCAGGAAGTGTGACCCCACGTCCGAACCATCCGGCGCCGAGGGCTGTATACCACCCCTCGCCTGCATCTCCGCTGCCGCATCCACACGGCCATCTTTAGCCGGTGAGCTGCAGATAGCAGTACAAGAAATATTTTTAAAAATTGTAGTTCAATTTTTATTTTACTCACACATAACTTTTCGCTGACACTACATTTTGTCTATTTTATGTATTTTCGTGTTTTATAAATTTTAATGTAAAAATAAGAATTGCAGGACTCAAAATTTGAGTCGCGATGAGATTATCTTAATTTTTTCAATCGTATCAAAACATTTCAGAGGCCAAGGCAAAAACCATACGCTGCCCAGCCTGAAGCTGTTTTTTGACTAAAACACAACGCACCAGTTAATCACCGTTTGCAGCCTTATGTTACTCCTTTGAAGTCACCTGTATTTTATTCCCCTTGGCCACTAGTATCCATAAAACTCAAGTATATGTTTAAACCAGGGGTGCAATGTGCACTGAGGACTGAGAGTAAGTTGTGTGACGGCCACATCCGTTTTAATATAGAGCGGTATTATTAATATAAAAGAAACCTCCAGCTCCTCTGCTGGTTGTTTAATGATTTAAATTGCACTGTAAAAATGTGGTTAAAATGAGGCTGAATACGTACTGTACGATACGTTCTCTGCCTGACACGCTATCGGAACTAGTGTACGTAACTAATCATGCCAGATTTACATGTAAAACAAACTCAAACTGCTTTTCAATCTAAATCCAATAAAATGACGAAAACGGCTGCAAAATGTTACACTACCGTGCAAAATATAAATAGCCTATCGGTATGGGTGCGTTTCTGTTAAATCGACAATTCTTCTTTCCAGTCAGTCCACATAATCTCGATCAGGTTCAACAATTTATTTAGCTAAAAAATAAAAAGAAATTCAGAATAAATTATATTACATTATAGAGAACCTCGTTGCTCAGTAGTAAATCCCCATAACTTTGGAGCATTTTCGTCTACATCTAAATATAGAACCTATTTGTATATCAAACCTTTTCTCCATTTCTGTGTCGATGAAACCGAACTTTTTCGCGTATTGTTTACGTCCCAATTAAACACCCATCTTCCCAAATGGTTTAGTTCCTCAATGCAGTTCAATGATTTATTTTAACGAGAATGGACCGCGGATGGAGTGTCAACAGCCACGGTTGAAACCCGCACGGTTCATCCGGCACAAAAACCTCATCATTGACAATAAACCAGCGAGGGTAAATTGAGCACTAATGCATCGTGAAAGGTCGGCTTTTCTCCATGTTACCAATTTAAATACCACCACAGCCTACCTCTCCACATTGCTTTCGTGCATCTTGGTCTAGGGCTTTCCGGCAACAAAGCGGCCCTTGCATTGTGGGGCGTGTAGTTCATAGATAGACTACATATCCCATCATGCGCATCAGCCAGGCGCTCCTTGTTTCGGGCAGGCAGCGCCCCCTATCGGTGTACTGACCGTACGATTCGGGCAACCTTAGCGACACTGTAACCATATCCTTCGCTGGCAGACGGCTTGAAACGAACTGAGTAGTTTAATTTTGCATTAAATACAATTATAAGAGCGCAATTACTCAGTGTGTCACTAAGATGTGCTGCGTGCAGAAAATATATGAGGTACCCGATTTTCTTCTTGGTAGGTAACATGCCATACATAGCCTATGCAGCAAAGATTTGCTGTGATATATTTTTTGATATATTTGCATACTGACTGAGCAGTTTTAAAGTACTGGGGTGGAGGTCAGAATGGGTTATGTGTGTTTAGGGGTCCTTAGCATGGTATAATATTGCTATTTTAAAAGGCGTTTTGAGAACAAAGGCACAGATTGAAATCCTGAGCTGAATCCAAACGACTTAACGGAACCCCAGTAGCCCCATTTGTGTCTTTCATAAGAGGAGGGGTCGGTCCGTGAACTATGATTAATAGGGAGCCGCTGTGTCTTCCATCCTTTTTCTGTAGTCTCCACCTGGATGAGCGGAGGCCCCAAGGCTGCTGACGGACGTGCCTGTGCACCGACTCGGCACCTGGAGGAGACCGCGGTTCAGCTCCTGCACGCCTCCCCAATCCTGTCCTTCCCTTAACCTCGGCTCCACACACACACACACACACACACAGAAAAAAACGTGCAGACGGCGGTCGAATCCTGTGCATTCTCGCCGTCTCTAAGTAATTTTCATACAGCGCCTCCCGTTGTAATAAAAAAACCGTCACACATTTAACGATGATCACATCACAATTTCTAGCCTTGGAATTTTAAGCTTAAGCCCATTATTCCAGTTTATTAAATTATGTATTGACTATTACTTGCAATTATGTGTTCAACTTTATAGCAATATTGCATGAGTTTCTCGTTACTTCTACCTTCCTACCTGCTGTTATGTAGATATTACACTCAGGTGCAGAGTTGGAAACGTATGAGGGCGTGTAATTCTGGTAATGAAATTCTACACACTGACATTCCAGACTTAATATCTATAATACAATAAAATGTGTATTTAAATTTTCATATGACTGGGATATGATGATCTTATACATTTTAAAGGTTGAAACTGCTGGATTTATGTGCACGATATGAGCTAATCGCTTAAAGTACAGGCTTGTATACATTGCTGTGTTGTTCTCTATAAACGTATAAAGGCATAAGGTGAATCTGGTACGGTCAAAGGAGACGTAGTTTTCAGTGAGCAAAAAAAGATGCTGAGGGAAACGTGAGATAGGAGCGAGGTTCCATTTGCGGCTCAGACTCCATCTCCAGACGTCATAGCCGTCTGAAGTTGTTGCCATGGCAGTGGCAGCTGGATCTGCGGCTGAAGGAGGAAGCCAGCAGCAGCACCCCCACCCCCCCTTCCCGCATGTCCCCCTCCCCTCTCCACTACTGACCTGCAGCTGAACCTAGCTGAGATCAGAGGTTGATGGCTGGGAGCGGATGGATGACAGTGAGGGACTGGGGGAGGGGGAGCACTTCCAGCCACACAGATGGGATATGAGCTGAAAAAAATGGCAGGCAAAGCTGAATCTAATTGTTATTAATGAGAAGGAATTAAATTGAAATTTTTTTCTTATTCTCCAACACAAAATAAAATTTGATAAGGGGTAAGTCATGTCTCTTTTAATTCTTAAATGATGATAATTATGATTCTGTTTCTTTCCAGCCTTTGCATAGAGGATGTGTGTGTTTGTGTGTGTGTGTGTGTCTAGATGGGTGGGCAATACACAGAACACACAGAGAATAACACTCCACTAGGTGTTTTTGTGCGTGTAAGAGCATGTATTGAGGGGGGGGGGGCAGCCAAGGAGACCTTGATGAATCCCAGAAAGACAACGGCCTCACCTGACAAGCCTGAGTGATGTGCACGTGTGCGTGTGCGTGTGCCCTGGGGTCGTAAACACACAGGTGTGCGTCGGTGCCCGCCTGTGTATGATTGTGACTGCGAGTGGTGCTTCTTACACGCTCAGCGTGTACATGCTGAAGGAAAGACAATACCAAGGAGCACTAAGGAAGCAGGAGGTCAAGTGAGTTTACCTCTGACCCCCCAGGCTGCCAAAGGTCAAACAGTTTAGGACATTTTGGTTTCTGTCCGAATTACCGCATGATGCTACTCCATTAAAGTGAGACACCCTAATTATGTTTATCTACATATGTGTTATCCAAAAACATCTACACGAGTGGTCAGATGTACTCTACAGGATCTGTTGGGTCATTTGCAAACATGACTAATTTATTGAACTATCCAGAAATTAAGTGAATTGTACAATTAAGTCCTCAATTGGATTTAATTTAGTGCTAATGATTGCAAATTGTAGGTATGCATGAAATGATAGGCATAAAATATTTTATTGCATAACAATGGACTTTTATATAGAGTCATACATTCTCCCTTAAGATTTATTTATTTATTTCTTGCAGTGGTATTTATTGTCATACTGGTTAATATAGCATAAAATGTGATTAAAGGACAATGACAAGAAACTGCATGGCACCTGGGAAAAAAGTAATTTGCGCATCTCGGTGTTACTGTGAATGAAACAGCGCCCTCTAGTGTCAGGCGCTTATTAATCCGTTAAACTCAGTTCTCTGCGGGCGCTGATGACCTTGCAGTTCTTAATTGGTTTTAAAGAGAAGTCGATATTTAATTATATCTCCCAAAAGAAATCTGAAAGGATTATATTTTGTAAATTAGCCCATTAAAGGAGATTTTATTTTGTACATTCTATATTAAGAGGTGTTTCAAAAGTCTTCAGTTGATTGCAGATCAGTGTGTAATAATTGGTGCGGCTGATGCGTTAAATGAATGAACAAACGGCATATAAAGTACTATGATGCGTATGATGATGAGACTTCCCTTCAGCTTTATTGTCCTTCCACAGATCATAACCATAAACAAATACAATAAGAAAAATATATGTGGGTCTTCAGTTTATCAACAGAGAAGCAATGCTGTTTCCTGAAAGGTTTACATCACCACGGGCAGGAATTAATAGCCCCAGACAATTATACTCACTGCTCTGTGTAGCACCTTAGACGCTCTGTTCAGATCCTGACCTTTAAACCCAGACAATGGTTCTCTTAGTATCGGCACAACACAGTATAGAGCTGTGATGCACACTTAGATCACTCCGCTTTGGTCGCAGCCCGAGACCGTGATTCTAGCGCTGTTTTGCTCACGCACATTTAGTTTACTGTGCATGATACTGAACCTTCAGAGTACTAAATTAACAAACTAAGCTACAGCCACAGGAGAAACATATACTGTGAAAATACTGTTGTGAGATATTTACACTCCAGATTTTATTTAAAGTGACACTACAAGGAAGGACACATGGAGGGGTGTTTTCTGGGATTGGAACCCACAACCTTTGCATTGCTAGTGCAGCCTTCAACTTGCTGAGTTAGAGGAGATCTAAATTGAACACAGAATTAGGAGTAGAATCACCTATACAAAGTATAGATTTGACTCTCCTTACATTGGCTAAAAATAAGGGCTAACAGCTGTTGTCCCAGCAATGAAGTGAAATACTGTTAGATTTTGGGGAATAAGCCCATAGAATGAGAAGTGGGAGCTTTCAGAAATGAACAGCAAGGAAAAGCTGCCTTTCCAATGCTAAGCGCTGACTGCGGGGCATCTTCTCTTTAACACTAACAAAGGCGTGAGGTGGGGGGGGGGGGGGATACACGCAATTCCAAACCGTTCCGGGCATCATGCCTCCATGGAATGAGAAGCTGGCTCCATGATGAGCTCCATCCCTTGGCTGCTGTCCTGCACATTTAATCCGCCGGCTTCTTGAAGTCTTATCGCTTATCTTTTCACTTTCATACTCTCTGAAGTATCACCACCTCCCCCTGGTTACCTTCCCATATCTGCTCTCCATATGTACATCTGGATACCCTCTTTCCCCTCTCTGACCCACTCTCTCTTCTTTTTTAGCGCATCTTGTCGAACCCTTGCCTTCCTCCCTCCCTCCCTCTCACTCTCCCTTTCTCATTCTCTCCCTCTCTCGCTCCTAGGCTCCTGGCTCTGATGAAACACTTTCCCCTCCCGTTGAACTCCGCTGATAATCCAGGGGAAGCAGTAAAAGACCATTGATCAGTGTCTCTGGCAGCCCAGGAAGGCTGCCGCAGTCTGAAAACCTCAGCTCTGCGTAAACGTGTGTCCGTGTGTCCGTGTGTGTGTGTGTGTGTGTGTGTGTGTGTGTGTGTGTGTATACACCCTGACTGTTTGTTTGGGTACGTCACTGCCTCTTCCTTGCCCCAGCTGCTTGGCCCACCACCAGCCCTGACCTCAGCTGCTCATTCACGCTCCTCCACAGCCTCCTGTCACCATGCAAATACCTGTGATCACGTGCAGACCCTAGATTCTCCAGGCATTCTAAGCCAATGAATATATGACTCAGCTTGTCAAAAAAAAAAAACAACTGGAACAGACAGGCACAGTCAGCAGGTATCTGGGTGAGGTTACTGGGGTTGAATGGTTGGCTTCAGTGGCTGAAACTCGCTCATTTCTGGGCTCTCATGGGTGCGGTTCCTCCTATCAAAACGCCCCGATGATCAATCGGAAGAGCAAGGCCCTCCAGGTCTTTTCCAGCTCATTTTAAAGCTGGAACCTTGTTGTCCCACTGACCAAGGACAACATCTACACCCCAGAGAGGAGAAGCCATGACCTCCCCGGTCCTGATAACACGAAAAGCTACACGGCCACAGAAGAAGTGCAAATAAACAGTCGACAAAAAAGAAAAAAAAAAAGCGTAATGAATGATTTAAGTGACATGTTCAGCTTTTCGCCTAAGGTTATCCACCATATAAAAACAAGCATTGTAGACACTCTCTGCCTTGGGGGGGGGGGGGGCACATGCAGCTTTCCTATGACACATAGCACG